TTCCATTTCTTGCGATCCATACGATTTGGTGGAATGTTCTCGACTTTCTTAGTCCAAAACTCTTGTTAGTTCGTGGACATCATCAACTCCATTCCTTTCGACTTTGTCTGTCAACAAACAAAAAACATATACAACAGAAAATGTTATTATCGGTAAAAAGGACATGAGAAATTATTTAAGAACTCTTTGTATACTCATTCAAAAAAATAAAAATAAATAAACTCTTTGTATTTATTTTCCGCGGACGTATGTAATACCTCATTGTTTTAATATAATCTTTGTGATGAAAAAAAAAATATAACTTAAGAATATTATAAATTCTGTTAACATCCATTAAATATGGAAAAAAAATTCCAAAAATTTAAAAATACGTGTACATCTCTGATTCTGAAAACAGTTCAATAGCTGGTGATTTTAACGAAGACAAAACTGTAAACCATAAAAACATTGAAATAGTATATCAAAATTCAAATATTATGCTGCCAAAAAATATATATATTTTCAAAATGCATTTACACAATAAATGAAAAACAAAAAAAGAGTGAAGGTCACAAGAGGTAGGCCCAACAAAACTCAGAGCCCACAACTATATTTCAATATCACGGGGCCATACATTAATCAATACGTACTTACCAACAATATCAACACCAAAGTCATCATCAACTATTCATCCCAAACTCCAAACTGAATAACCAAACACACCAACCGAAAGTCCCACCACCGGTTTAACCCCAAAAAAAAATACCAGCCGGTTAGAACCGATTAACGGTTCCGGTAATGCCAATATTACCAGACACTTACTTCAAATGATTTGTGTAATGCACATTGCTTAAAATCACAAACGAATTCGCCAATCAAATATTTAACATCGCTTGAAGATGCTTGTCGTAGGCTTTGTCGGTTTAAAGCGAAATCCGAAAAGGAGTAAAACTACGCCGTTTTATTAATGGGCCTTACAAAGAGCCCATATTCCTTTTCCCTTGCACAGAATTGATTTTGTCGAGCCTCCACTCGTCTCTGAGCCTGGCGATGAAATTGTCGGCTTTCGTGTTAACGTCCGGGCTTGGACAGAATCCCGGTCTCCCGCCGCCGCTACCGACGGCGACGGAGGTTTCAACTCCGCCATCAGATTGTGTGAGTTCTAGACCCCATCCGATGTCGATCACTTCTCGCTCAGGGGAGCTACATCTTGAGCTCTGATTGCTCCGTATCTTCGCGAAATCCCCACTCACCACGAATTTTAGCGGTGGAACCCTAAACGGAGGCGGCGGAGGTGGAGGCGGCGTGATTTGGACCAACGGAGATCCTTGGTAATTCTCTTCGTTGAGATTTATCTGTTTCATCGGACGAGGAGGTCTTCCCGATTTCAATCTCCGTGGTGGTGTCTCAGTCCCTGATTGGAACTTACTTCT